ATGAATACATAAGAATTCATTTATCTACTAAACTGTTAAAAAAAAAGAGTACTTAACTATGAAAAACTCTTAATCAATCAAGTTTCTGAGAGATTTTATGATTGATTTTTATTTTTTAAGGCAGGGTGTAACTAAATAAAATTTTCACACTTACTTTTAATGAATTGAAAGTTAAAAAAATTGAAAACTTGTTCCTTGATCATCTTTTAAGCAAGTGCAACATTAATTTAATATATATAAACATAGGAAAATCAATACTTGTATAACCTTTAACAAATCAGTCTATCACCGACAAAAAAAAAACAAAATTTACCGAATCACCATAAAATACAAATAAAAAATCGTGTCAAATCAAACTGCGAATTCTAAAAATACTGCCAGTCGTCCACTTCTGCATCCTTGCTTTTTTCTATTAATAGTTATGTTTTAAGTGCTACGAACACATTATTGGCACAGCAGATTTTCGTAAAGGCTTTGTCAGCTAACAATTTAACCAGAACGATGCCCTACGTCAAACTGTCGGCGCCGGGCGACGTCCAGATGCCCCTAGTGGGGCTCGGTACGTGGAAAGCTACCAACGAAGAAATTGACAAAGCCCTTACTACCGCACTAGATGCCGGTTACAGACAAATAGGTAGTTATTATAAGTGGCGAGTAGTTTTTTAAATACGTTAATATCGAAATATTTTTAAGATACTGCCTTCAATTACAATAATGAGGAAGCAATTGGATCCGCCTTAAAGAAGTGGATAAGTTCTGGCAAAGGAAAGAGGGAGAACGTGTTTATTACCACAAAGGTTTGTAAAAAACACCGATTTTGATTCTGCGATAACTTATTACATTTGAGGGAAGATTTCCGAATTAAACAAAATAATGATTCAAAATATCTATGAAATCAGTACAAGTATCTTAAAATTGTTTGTTTTGTGCTGTACCACGGGGTTTTCTTAAAAATGTTCTTTTCATTCAAAAGGAAAAGGTGCGATAAAATTTGGTCACTAACCGTTTTTATTTATATTTCTCTTTTCAGTTACCAGTGTTCGGTAATAGGGCGGGAGATGTGGAGAAATATTTAAATTGGTCCTTGAAAAACTTGCAGACTGACTATGTGGACCTGTACTTAATACACATGCCCTTTTCCTTAATTCCAGACGACACCGGTCTAAGTCCAAAGACTAACGAAGATGGTTCTTTCGTTCTTGATCTAGAAGCAAATAACGTAGAAACGTGGAAGGTAAAACTATTTTTTTTTTTTATTAAAATTAGAATACAATTATAAAGGAATAATTTTGTATTAACAGGCGATGGAAAAATCCTTAAAGGATGGAAAAATTCGTGCTCTTGGAGTTTCAAATTTCAACGCGATGCAAGTTAAGAAACTTTACGAAAACTCTGAAATAAAACCGTCAGTTCTACAAGTAGAATTGCACGCCTATCTTCAACAAAAAGATTTGAGAGCTACTTGCAAGGAACTTAACATTGCTATCACTGCCTATGCTCCTCTGGGAAGTCCGCACGCTAAATCACATTTTATCGAAAAATACAATTATAAGTAAGTTAATTAAATGGAGATAAAAAAGTCATCGCTTACTTATTTTTATTTAGCTCCAGTTCCTACTTAATTTATTTGTACGTAAATGAAATGAAAAAATATTTAATTTTATAATTTCTTNTACTTCTCTTGTAATTTTCTTGTTCAGCTGTTTACTTCTTGGATTTAATTCTATTCGTTTTATTGCATAGTAGCCACCATCCAATTTATTTCTTACCTAATAATTGTAAATATCATTTTGAAAAAAACTAACAAATCATTTGTACCTTTATAACGTCTCCAAAGGCACCCTTTCCTATGTACATGAGCACCTCGAATTCGGTTTCGTGCATAGTAGCCACCATCCAATTTATTTCTTACCTAATAATTGTAAATATCATTTTGAAAAAACCTAACAAATCATTTGTACCTTTATAACGTCTCCAAAGGCACCCTTTCCTATGTACATGAGCACCTCGAATTCGGTTTCGACCCGCGAAGGACCGCTTGAAATGGCGTTATTGAATAATTTAAATTCAGACGAAAAAGGCTCAGATGGGGCAGCACTCTGGGATGTAACATCGTTATGGTCATGTTTCGGAAAGAATTTTTCCAAGGGCGCTCGAATGAAAATATGATTTAGCAACTGAGTGGCAGTAGAACGTTCTTTTTCCTCTTTGGCTAAGCATCTTGAAAATTAAAGTTAACTAAATGAAAATATGAAATTGAAATTAATGTACCTTGACAGAAAATCGCGAAAATCTAACGAAACTGAAGTTGGATAAGCGATTTTCTCTTCAGAAACGGCTTCTCCCCTGAAAAGACTTAATATGGCGAGTCCAAACATAAAAATGTCACTTTTCTTATTCAGAGAAGACGGCGTTTGAGACGTTTTTACCAAATCAGAAAGCCTTTTACTTAAACTGTGATTTCCTAACTTAATGATTCCTGAAAGAAACAATTATTACATTATTTAACTTTCTTATAATGTATAAATACCGTCATTGCAAAAATACATATTAGACAGTGAGATTTCTTTGTGAACAACGCTGTTGCGATGCAAAAACTCAATGGCATTCAATACATTCGTTGCAATATGTCTTATCATGTCTAAATCAACTGGTAAATTTTGACTTAGAAACAATGAAGAACAATTTAGTCCTGTAACAGTAATAATGAATAAATAACGAATATCAATTTAGAATTAATAAAAATAATTCAATACTTACCAAATGCAAATTCTCTCAGGACATAGACAATTACCTTGTTTTGTTCTTCCTTTGTAACGTGTTTTATGTTTAAATATTTTACAATATTAACATGTTTTAATTTAAATAGATAATTGCATTCTTGCTCAATACTATTTATTTGTCTTGAAATTTGAACGTAATCATTTTTCAATGGAACACACCATTCAGAAATTACATAAAACTCGCCAGTTGCCAAGTCTAAGCCTTTGTACAAAATACTATTTTTATTCAATGAATGGTCTGAAAATTTTAATTTTAAATTAAATTGTACAAAAATGGAAAACCTAATAACTTACTTATACATTTTCCTCGTTGAATTTCTTGAAAGCCATTATTTGAAAACTCAATTGTTTCAGTCCCTTTACAGTCACAAGAAAATGAATCTATTTCACTGGTTCTTCTTCTAAAAACAATTTTATTATTATTACATTTTATTTTA